CTAGTTAGCAAATTTGGTTCATTTCACCCAGTGTCTGAAGTGGTCGGGTATGTGTGCAGGCATGCATTGAGGGAAAAGAGAAAGGACCAAATTTTACGTACAAAATGTCCATTTGTATACCTAACCCTGGCCGCCCCACCGGCCCCGCCCCACCCGGCCCTGGCCCCGGCTGCCCCTGGCCCCAGCGCCCCGGCCGGCCCAAAAGTCTGCCCACGTTGCTCACTGTGGGTCACAGCACACCAGAAACCATGAGGTTATGCGCAGGAAAGGAAAGAGCATGAGCGGGCGGCAGAGCAGAAGGAGCCCGCTCCGGTCCGCCAGCCTCCTGCAGTCCTCTGTCTCTGTGTACGTCACGGTCTCCATGGAGATATCCCGCAGAGATCGCGGGACTTGCTACCGGCGCTGTGAGCCCTAACAACCGCTGGCTGGTGGGGGTCCTTCGTCCCCCTAGCCTCAGCTGCCACAGTTTGAAGCTGTCTGCGTCGTCGATTATGTTTGTCGTTATTTTCAGCACATATATCTTTAGACTCCATACTTGGTAAACATATTAAACAATAGTCATTTTGGCTCACCCTATTGGGTAACACCTTTTCCAACGGTAACCATTTTTGGTAACTCATAATCAGACAATTTAGACATTTTGTAAACATGCACTCTCAAAATACTTTGTTATACTCTGTCTGTAGTATTTGACCAAGCAAACATCACCCAAATACCTGTATATTATTAGCATCAAGGATAAGCTTTTAGATTTAACCAATTTTTTTTTAAAAAATGGCTCCCTTGACAGGATTTGTCCTCAACTGGGAGAAGAGTAATTTCCATGCAGAGGAAGATATTGACACAACATAATAATCAAGTGGCAACATTCATGAATTGAGAGATGGGGACTATTTGTACAGAATACTAACAGTTTTACACACAGCATAGAAATGATGTAATAATGCTCACCAGAAAATGACACTATTGCCTTATATAAGTCAGATCAGAATGCCATCATTTAAACCTGTTCAGGCCAAATCTGGTCTGAAAATTTTTAGAGCCAGCGTCATCGCTTGTTTTTTTTTTTTTGGTTTAATTTTCATAATTCTTAATTTCATAAATAATTCTACTAACTCATATTTTAATAAGGTATAGAAGTATTATATTATCACATTAAATATGTTCATTTTTTTCACAGTTAAGTTTCAGAGAAAATTCAAGAGCCCAGAGGACAAAAGAGAGCCCTGCTATACTGAGAGTCATTCTGAGAGTAATAACATATACTACATATACTATAACTGTAAAGTTTAAAAAGAGACAGTTTAGGAATAAAATAGGTATTATGCTGATCTCTGTGTGGTTTCATTTTATAGACTAGAATATTGAGGTTTTTTGAGAATACCAAATATTTTCATTTTCAAATGTAAGAATTTAAACATACAATAAAGTTAAAAAGAAATTGCTTGTAAATCACCTTGGATTTTATTTATCTACAGTACTGTGGATCTTTACAGTACATTAGCTGCCCATCTTTAGATGATGGTATGTACAAGTCTTAGAAATACTGAAGTTCAATTGGGTCAAGAACATTTTACTTAACTTCCCTGTAATTAAAAAAATGCAAAGAATATTTTATTCTATAATCAGAACAAAACAAAATGATGAAGGCATACAGCTCACAACAAATTAAAAACAGAGAACTTGGTACCTCTCTGCAGTGATTAATAGCATACAAAATAGGTTCATACCTTCCTCTCCTCCAACTCTGTTAATCTCTTCTACCTCTCAATTTTGCGATCTTTTTAAGGTACTGCAATAAATGAAACACACACACACACACACACACACACACACACACACACACACACCCATATTTTTATCCTCCGCATTTGCCTGTCCCCTTAATTCTACCAATGCTTCCCACCACACTAAGATTCTATACGGTCCACGAGGAGCTGCTTATTAGTTGCCAAAGTAGGAACTGGTAAAGCCAGCATAGTCGTAGCCTGCTGGATGACTTCAACCTCGTGGGTCCATGTATTGCTACATATGTGTGGCACAGAATGACACTTGCTCTGGGGTTAGGGACTAAAAACATAAAAAGAGAAAGATATAGTTACAGGGATTCAAAATAGCTGGCTCCCTGGGGCTTCCAATATTCCCTAGCTGCAGTAGGTGAAGATTTGGGGCAAAGACTAAACAAGTCCTGTTTCTATGACACACTTTTCTCATATATTTATAGTTTCTAGTGAGTAATTCAATTTTAACCTCAACTCTTTCTTGAAAAAATAGAGCTCATCCACTTTGACTATTCTAGAAATCTAATTCCCTAAATTTGACTTATTAAATAGGAAGACAAAATAGTCTTACAAACTGAGTTGCAGATTTTGGATTGACTCTGTTGGTCAGTAGAGAACCACAAGAGACATTTGAGCTGGCTCAAAACATAATGAAGTGGTGACCAATTCAAATGATATCTTGTGCAAGAGGAAGTCTGAGGAAAATAAAATGGGTGGGTGGATGGGGGTTTTCAAAGTAGGCAACCAGACCTGAGATGACCAATATCCAGATGATCATGAGAACATAGTAGTGAAAGCAACTGGCATCTGACCTGCTTCATGTCCTCTTTGGTAATGTAGGCCTTGCCCTCTGCCAGGGCTTGGAAAGTATTCTCTATTTCATCACTGGACTTGATGTTTTCTGACTCTTTGTCAATCAGGAATGCAGTATAGTCCTCCAGTGAGACATAGCCCTTCCTGTGGAAGAAAAAGATTAGGAGCTGTGACCTTTCAAGACAGAGAAGCAAGGTCCCTTTCTCATCCTACTCAGTGTTTCAGAGACAGAGGGAAACCAGATTTCCCAAGTGCCTCTTTCAACTATGCTCTCTGAGACTATGGGCTATGCTGTTTATTTGACACCCCTCCCCATCTTCTTACAGTCAAATAAATACTGGTTACTAAGCTCTAGACTCTGTTTTCTCATGAATCATTCAGTCTGAATCTTTCAGTATTTTGGAGTTTTCAATCAGCACCAGTTTCCAGATACCTCAAATATCTTATAGTCTTTTTTGATCCATGGTATTAGAAATAATTCATTCCTAGCAATACCTTGATCATTCTATTACTCTACTTCACCCCCACAAGCACACACCAACCCTCATCCCTGTGTGTTAGCCTCTGAATCACACATGTCTCCTGAAGACCTCACATGTATGAAAGGATTCTTCTTTTAAGTCCCATCCTCAAAACCAGATGAAAGGTGTAGATCAAACACAAATAATGAACTGGGCAAATTGCAGAGCTACTGCCATTTGCTACTGAGCTAATTTTGAAAGGGCATCAAAAGCTGCCCAATCCATTTATGGTATTTTTATCTTCCCATTTCCATGCTAATTTTGTTTTGTGGATCGTTTCACTCTCTGTGCTTCTCCCCACAAGCCCCAATCCCTGCTGTGGTCTAACCTTTGGTCTTCCTCCTACCTCACTGGATCCACAGCATCCAGGAACTTCTCGAACTTGGGCTCAGGTTCACCCTCCTCCACCATAGGCAAGTAGTAGTTGAGACCCCTCAGGCAGGACCGGAACTCTTTATGAGTCAAGCGCCCCGTCAAATTCTCATCAAAGTGTCTAAAGAATAAAAACATGTTATCCAGCTCAATAGAAAACCATATTAGAACAGAGACAAACATGTCTTATTGCATGAACTGGAGGTTTATTAATATGCTGTGAGGTTGTCAGAGAATTGACAAAAAAGCCTGCTTGTGTCTTTGAACTTTTTTTAGTCTAATGAATGAAGGGAAATGCACAAAACATTGGGCATGAAGTAAATATTCATTTTTTTTTAAAGTCCAATAATTTTTCAGAATTATTATATTAAAATTCATGACTGAATTAACATTTCTATATCTTTATTTAAGATCCCACCAAACTACATGAAGTGAAAAGAATAGTAGTTATTTGTAGGCTCATTCTGAATGGTCTGGAAAATAAACAGTCAACTATACAATGATACTCACTTATAAGTTGTGCTAAATTCCTTTAGTGTTTCCTCACTCACACCTATGGTGTCCCTGAAAGGAAAAACATGAATTGACCCTTTATATAAAACGCAGAATAGAAGAAGACACGTCACATGAGAAAAATTTTAATGGACAATTTTCTATTTGACACATCTAGCTCGGGAGCTAGCAAACGATGGTCCATGGCCCCGATCTAGTTGGCCACCTGTTTTTGTAGAGTCCATGAGCCAACAGTGGTTTTAGCATTCTTACATGGTTGAAAAGAAAAGAATAATATTTTTTGAAACATGAAAATTACATAAAATTTGAATTTCAGTGTCCATAAATAAAGTTTCATTGGAACAGGGCCACTCTCATTCTCTTACAAATTATTTATGGCTGATTTTTCTTACTTCAACAGCAGAATTGAAGAGTTACCAAAAAGAAGGTTTGCCTTAAAAAGTCTAAATTATATACCATCAGAATTTTTACAGAAAAAGTTTGGAATTTTCATCTAGATAAAAATGCTGCCAAAAAGATATTGGGACTTAAAACTGCTGTGATACAATTAATTTATCTAGTAAATAATGAATGTCTGTTCTTCTACCCCACTGAACCACACTTGGAATGATTTCTTCCATTCTAGACATATTTTAGATAAAACTTTACAAAAGGAAATATTTTCAGAAAAGATCACATAGATGGTGAAGGACCTCAGAGAAATTGGATAGAGGAGACAATAGCTATCCAGACAGATGATTAATAGAGTCAAGGAGATAAAGGTACTGTCTTTTATCTCAAAATAGATTTCACTATAAAAATAAATAGTCATAGAAAGAGAACAAGTTGACAGCCTACCAAACCACCTAAGAGAGCTGGAAAAGCAAAACCCTAACTTCAACAGAAGAATTCAGATCACTAAAGTAAAAGCTCAAATATGGGACATAGAAGGCAAAAATACCACAGGGAAAAAAAATCAACAAAACAATAAGCTGGTTATTTGAAAGGATAAACAAGATTGATTGATCCCTAGCCAGAATGACCAAGAAAAAAGAGAGAGAAAGCTCAAATAAACACAATCAGAAATGCAAAAGATCAAGTCACAACTGACCGTGAAGAAATACAAAAGATTATCAGAGATTACTGTGTATATCTGTATGGAAAAAAAAATCAATGATCTAAATGAAATGGAGGACTTTCTAACATCACACAACCTCCCAAGGTTGAGAGAAAAAGAAATGGAGATCCTAAATAGACCAATAACAACCTAGAGAATTGACTGTCATAAGAAAACTATGTATGAAAAAAGTCCTGAACCAGATGGATTTCCATTGGAATTCTACAAAATATACAAGAAGGAGCTGACACCAATCCTATTGAAAGTATTCAGGCAATTGAGAAAGGCAGAACTCTCCCCAAATCATTTTATCAAGCTAATATTATACGGATACCCAAACCAGGTAAAGATCCAACAAAGAAAGAAAACCATAGGCCAATATCCTGGATGAATGTAAATACAAAAGTTCACAACAATATTCTAGCAAATCGGATCTAATAACACATCTCAAAAATCATCCACCATGACCAAGTAGTCTTCATCCCAGGGATCCAGGGCTGGTACAATATCCACCAGACCACAGATATAATTAAATATATCAACAGATGTAAAAATAAGAATGACATGATTATATCATTAGATATGGAAAAATGATAAAATCCAGCATCTCTTCTTGATAAAAACCCTAGAGAAGCTAGGTATAGAGGGAACATGCCTTAAAATAGTAAGAGCCAACTATGATAAGCCCACAGCCAACATATTGCTAAATGGACAGAAATTATAACAACTTACCCTGAAAACCACTACAAGACAAGGCTGCTCATACTCACTACTCCTATTCAACAGAGTGTCAGGAGTCCTAGCTAGAGCAATCGGACAAGAGAAGAAAATCAGGAAAATCAGATAGGAAATGAAGAAGTCAAGTAGTCACTCTTTGCAGACAATATGATACTATACCTTGAAAATCCAAGAAAATCTGTCAAAAATCTCCTTGCATTGATAAAAGACTGGTATAGTCTCAGGGTACAAATTATATGTGCAAAAGAAATTCACATTCTTATACACCAACAACAAGCAGGTAGAAAACTAAATAAAAAGCACAATCCCATTCACAATAGCCTTCTTCTCAGACCTGGAAACAATACAGAAATTCATTTGAAAACATAAACGAACATGAATGGCCAAGACAATCCTTAGCAAAGTAACAAAATGGAAGGTATCACATGGCCAGACTTTAAACTTTATTATAAGGCTATAGTTAAAACAACCTGGTATTGCTACAAGAACAGGCATATAGACCAATAGAACAGGATGGAGATTTTGGAATCAAAACCTCAATTTCTCAGTCAACTCATCGTTGACAAAGCCTCCACCAACAACTATTGGGGATAGAAGAACCTCTTTGGAAAATGGTGCTGGGAGAACTGCCTGACCACTTGCAGAAGATTAACACAGGACCCCTACCTATCACCATACACAAAAATCAACTCCAAATGGATCAAAGACCTAAACATAAAACCTCAAATGCTAAGAATTATAGAATCTTATGGATATCGAAATAGGCAACCAATTCCTCATCAAAATCCCTAAAGCCCATGCCAGAAGAGATAAGATTTACAACTGGGAACTCATCAAACTGAAAAGCTTCTGCAAAGCAAACTAAACCATCAATAAAGTGGAGAGACAGTCCACAGAATGGGAAAAAAAAAAAAAATTGTCAATTGCATATACAACAAAGGTCTCACATCTACAAAGAACTCAAATGTGCTAAAATGAAAAACAACAACAACAACAACAACAAAACCCAAACAGCCCCATTAAAAAGTGGGCAAAAGAAGATGAGCAGCCAACAGACACACGAAAATCAGCCTCACTAATTATCAGAGAAATGCAAGTCAAAACTACATTGAAAGCTGGGCTCGGTGGCTCAGCCTGTAATCCCGTGCCTTTGGGAGGCTGAGGTGAGTGGATTGCCTGAGCCCACGGGTTCGAGACCCACCTGGGCAGCGAGACCTCATCTCTACAATAAATCAAAAAATCAGCCGGGCATGGTAGCACATGCCTGTAATTCCGGCGACTCGGAAGGCTGAGGTGGAAGAATCGCTGGAGACCAGCAGGTCGAGGCTGCGGTGGCCGGGAGCGGCCACTGCACTCCAGTCTGGGCGACAGAGTAAGATTCCAACTCAAAAAACAAACAAACAAACAAACAAAAACTACATTGAGATACCACCTAACTCCAGTAAGAATGACTATCATTTACAAGAAAAAAACAAACAAACAAGATACTGGCAAGGATATGAAGAAAAGGGAATGATTCTTTAATACCAGTGGGAATGAAAACTAGTTCAACCTCTATGGGAAACAGTGTGGCGATTCCTAAAAGAACTAGAAAAGGGCCTTCTGGGAATATACCCAGAGGAACCTAAACCACTCTGTAAAATAGATACCTGCACACTCATGTTTCATGCAGCACTGTTTACAATAGCACAAACATGGAACCAATCATGCTACCCATTGAAACTGCACTGGATAAAAAAATGTGGTACATATACACAATGAAATCTTATGCAGCCATAAAAAAAAACAAAATTATGAACTCTGCAGCAACTTGGACAGATTTAGAGTCTATAATACTCAGTGATTTATCACAGAAACAAAGAACTGAGTAGCATATGCTCTCACTCATAAGTGGGCCCTGAACATTTATCATAATAGTATAAGAAAGGGATTGACAGTAGCAGCATACTGTCAGGGGAGGATGGAGAGGACACATAACATCAATAAGGGTACCTGATCAGAAATCAGGCGAAGTGGGGACCAAAGGGAGGCCCAAATTTATCTGTATGATGACCACTTGTATACCTTATCCTTAGTTGTACCCCACATCTTTAAAATAAAATAAATTTTTAAAAATAAGAAAAAGATGGACAATCATTCTGGGGGCAATAAGAGAGAGAATATTTGTTATGAAGAAGGGTGAGTGTACTATCTCTGAAGCAGCTCTTTTAACTAGTGCCCCAGATCTAGTCCTTAGATAAGCTCCTAACACCTTATACCACCTGTGCCCCTCCTTGCCCTGGCCATAGGCTCTAAGTACTTGGCCTGGATCTGTTGTTCCAGATTGTGTTGCATCCGCATCCCAAGCTGATACAGCTGGTCCCACTGCTGGGCCAGTCCAATAGTGCTGTATTTGATGTCAAGGACCAGAGCCTCCTCCAAGTTGTCTCCCAGGTCCTCAATCTTGGTCAGTTGGCGCTTCATTGCCTGGATCTCCTTCTGCTTTCTCTGGGAAACAAAAGAAAATAAGAAAGGCTTTTATAGGCTATCAGCTCACAACCTAATGGCGGAAGAGATGATAAGAAGCTGATTAATTTGAGAATCCCTTAATTGCTGCATTTCAATTGTTTTCAACGATATTCATGTCCTCTATGAAAAATAAACTATGCAGGAAATCCTGCAGTTCTCATTTGTAAAATGGTGGGAAGTTTAAGTGAGATGATTCCTGTCATTCTCATATTCTGTAATATATCAATCTAAGAGTTAGTAGTTACACAAATACAATAGATAAAGAAGGGTAGAATTTCCAGGATCCAAGCATCATGGGCTCCCAGTGATCTGTACTGGGTCTCATCTATACCACTGACTGTGGCTGAGCTTTCAGACTCACCTATATTCCTGACAGTGTTCACTCCTGGACCTCCTTCATAAGCTTGGGATGATGTACACAGGTTGCTCCTGTTATCTGGGCACGTTTTATGCAGGATTTTTGTGTTTTGTTCATGCTTTCCCAATGAAAGGGTATTGTTCCCCAAGGAGGGGAAGGGGAATTGGTTGTGATAATAGTGAGGTGCAGTGGAAAAAATCTTAGATAACACAAGGCTATGGCCTTCTAAAGGTTATATCTACCTAATATCCTTTTTAAATTTAATGTTACAATAATGCATAATAGGTGTACATATTTTTTAAGTATATATGGTAATTTAATACATTCATGTAATTTATAAATATCAAAATATAATTGGAATATTTATCACCCTAAATGTTTGTCTTTTCTTTGTGTTAGAAATATTTGGGTTATTCTTTTCTTGCTATTTTAAATATACAATACATTATTGTGAACTATAGCCACCTTATTGATCTTTCAAATATTAAGTCTTGTTTTCCTATATGTATTCATTAATCAACCTCTCTTTATCTTCCTCTCTCTCCTAGCTTTCCTGGTTCCTGGTAACGCAATCTACTCTTTATCTTCATGAGATACATTTTATTAGCTCCTACCTATGAGTAAGAACATGTCATTTTTTTTTTTCCTGTGCTTGGCTTACTTCACATTATGTAATGACCTCCAGTTCTATCCATGTTGCTGCAAATGACAGGATTTTTTTTCTTTTATGTGGTTGAATAATATTCTATTGTGTGTTTATACCATATTTTCTTTATCCATCTGTCCATTGATGGGCACTCTTAAAATTGTAAATAGTGATGCAATAAACATGGGAGTGACTATATCCTTTCTTTTGGATATACTCAGTAGTGCAACTGCTACACTATATGGTAGTTATCTTTTTAGTGTTTTGAGGACACTCCAAATGGTTTTCCATAATGGTTGTGTTAATTTACATTCCCATCAACAGTGTATAAGCATTCCCCTTTCTCCATATTCTCACCAACATTCATTATTTCTTTTTTTATATATAAAAGCCATTTTAACTGGGATGAAGAAATAATAAAAAGTACTTGATATCTTACTTGTTAGTATTTCATTTCTCTTTTCAGGAAGAAATTAAATTTAATTAATTTTTTTCTGGAAACACAATAATGAAAAAAGGTTGAGAAACACTGTTCTTACCCATTGCTTCACTCAATTGTCAAGACATTATTTAGATTCAATTTATCCACTTACTGCATTAAATAATAATGGAATTTTGCCAATGTTTCAGGTTGTAGGCTTGGAGCTTTTACATTTGCTCCTTTACTTAATAGTTACAGTAACTCTACAATGCATACATTGATTCCATTGTTTAGATAAATAAATTGAAGTTCAGAGATTTAAGTAAACTAAGGTCCATAGTCATGAAGTTGTGGCCTATGGTTAACATGCAAACTGATGGCAGGATTGGGACTGCAGCCTTAGCTGCTTGACTAGGGATGCATACTTAAAAGCAGGGTTACCTTTATGTATTTTTTTCTTGCACTCTTTATAACTTGGGCAAGATCATCAGCTAACAAACAACTTGCTAACTTAAATTACTTACTTTATTTGCTTCCAACTGAGATTCCAGGGTTCCTGTCTCTTTAAGCAAAGATCTAGTCAAGAACCAAAGGGAAATGTTATTCATAGTGGCAGGTCAATATTTCACATAAACACACTTATTCAAAGCCCCTATACTTCTCTGCTTCTACTTCTTCCAAAGTTATGTGGCCTCCATAAAATGAAGTTTCATAGAGTCAAATATTCACAACCAAACCCTTCTGTATATTGGCAACTTGTCAGATTGATGAGAAGAGACATCATGCCCTCGTTCTTCTCTGCCTAGGAGAAGGTTTTCACGTGTCCTTCCTAGTTCTTATTTCAAATATACACTTAAGCAAAGTAGGCAGGATTCCATCTAATAAGGAGTAGGGCAGAGAGAAAATACTGAGTGTCTCCTTTTCAATCCACGTTATTATTAAAGCATCACAAGATTGTAATGGGATGAAGATAACTCAGCATTGCAGTCATTTAAAATAATTCTTCCAGAATAATATAACAAAACAAACATGGCAATGTAAAATACGGACCCATCCGGAAAGTAAGCCCTGGACATGGAGGTCCGGAACAGCAATCACGTGAGAGAAAAAGGAAATCACAAGTTAACATGGATTACTTCAATTATCTTATTTCTTCAGATTTATGAAACATCTAAATCCTTTGTAGCCACAAAATATGAACCAGTCCACCCATTTTTGTCAAGGCCTCACCCACTATGGGCATCTCAGAGCCTCCCACAAATATCCTTGTTTCAGAACGTCAAGAGATATGCTCAGTGTACACACTGCCATTGTATGATAAAGGGACCAAATGTATGATAAAGGGACCAAACGAGTGGTAGGACAGGTGGGCTTCGTGTCTTCTGTGCCTTCTGTCAGATGATTTTTAGACATGACACAGAATTTTCTTCTGTTCATCATCTTATCTGTCCTTGTCAGTGATTATGTAGGAGCAGTCTATATCATGGAATTGTCTAAACCACCACTTTAACCCTCAAAACACCACAAGTCTGACCCACCTACTGGATATAGTCATTCAACTTTGATCATTATTCTAATATATTACATCTTCTGCATCTTTTCATTTCCAGGAAATTGACTCCAGAAGATGAGACAAAGGTTATCTTCATGTACAGAATATTTTGTTTTTAATAAACCCCATTAACATATATTATCTCACTTGATTCTCATTATAGCAGCAGGCAACAGAATAGCTTCATTTTAGGCATTCACAGTAGGCTCTGCTTCTGATTGTGCCAGTAAATGCATGTGATCTTGAGCAAGTCAAATTATCTACTTGAACTTTTTTCCACACTTGGAAACAGAGGTAATAAGATCTGCTCTTTATACTTTTCAAGGTTGCTCTGAAAGTTAAGTGAAATAATGGATATGGAAGTACTTTGAAAAGTGCAATGTTGCATGCAAGCCTGAGGGATTGTTATAATATTGGCCTGAAGGTACAGGCAACAGGATTAAAAGTGAGAATACTGAAGGGTACATAATGAGAAGCAGGATGAAATTTTTACTTTTTGGTTTTGCAAGGATTGCTTCAGAAAGCCATCCATTCAAAATATAAAGCACAGACAAGCTATGGTGATTTTAGGCCAGAGCACATACTACAGGAGTCTATCCTCTCCCTTCAGACACATATTTCACCCCTACAGCAAATGGCATGTGTGGCATAGGTGTCATAGGTTTGGAGGTAGCACTACACACCTGGTCTCCAGGATCCACTGAAGAAAGGCACTGGCGTTCTGTTCAAACTCCTGGCACATCTCAAAGTTCTTGACCTGTCTTTCTCTTCCTTTTGCAACTCCTGCTCCCGTTCCTAAAACCCCAAATCACAGACAGTGGGGCTCACACCAAAGGCCTTTCTTTGATATTAAAAAAAAAACTGGTTTATAGACTCAACTGCATATCTTCCTTCTCTAAAGTCTAAGCTGTCTTCCACAGGCATGTGCCTATGTGTCCATGCTTCATACAGCCCACCTCTTCTCACCTCCAAAGTGTGAAGATAGCTCATGACGCTTCCCATAAGTACTGGTCAAGTCTCTAAGACCAAGCCCAGTAAAAAATAAGCTACTAATAGAGGGAAATCTTTTCTCTTGTTAATCTTTTTTTAGGTGAAATTTAATTTAAATTTAATTTAAAAGCAACTTAAAGTTGCCTTGAGTAGAAAGAGTTGCCACTTAAAGTGGTAATATTAGAGTGGGATTTTTCTGTTAAGCTGTTTTATATTTCATAGCTTCAAAAATGAACATTATTGCCGGGCTCAGTGGCTCAGCCTGTAATCCCGTGCCTTGGGAGGTTGAGGTGAGTGGATTGCCTGAGCCTGCGGGTTTGAGACCCACCTGGGCAACTTGGCGAGACCTTATCTCTACAATAAATCAAAAAATTAGCTGGATGTGGTAGCGCGCACCTGTAGTTCCAGCTACTAGGAAGGCTGAGGCGGAAGGATCGCCGGAGTCCAGCAGGTCTAGGCTGCGGTGGCCGGGAGCGGGCACTGCACTCCAGTCTGGGTGACAGAGTGAGACTCCAAACTCAAAAAAAATGAATGTTATTGTAGAGAGACAACATTTTAAAAAATAAGCAAATAGAAAAACATTTTTGGAGGTGTGCATAAAATAGCAAACAGTCTAAATAAAGGGGGTACATAGACTCTGCGAATATACACAAAGCCTCATGAATTTTGCATAACTCATCATGAGAACCAAACCAGAGCTTCCATTTGCTTCCCTGAGTCATTGGTTCAACTCCCAGAAGCACGAAACAGTCCAAACTATGGGGAATAGGATACATCTGTTGTGAACATGTTTTTTAATTTTCTTAGACAATCTTGTTCCATGACTGCTATCCCAGTATAATTATTAATAGTGTTCTTTTTTTCTCAAAAGTTCCCTAACTTGGATAATAAATTTAGTGGCCATGTTTGCTATAGCCAAAGGAAGTCTCTACTGTGCCCCAAGTTACCTTGATGATGTCAGGTAGGTGCTTCCAGATTCTTTCTAGGACCTCCACTGTTAACCAGGTTTAAGGGCTGGAGGGCACATTTAAGGCCTTAATCTGTTGGTCTAGCTCCAGTAAATAGTTGAAGTCTGCTTGAGCCCCTGCCAAGGAGGCCAAGAAGGTCTCATGGTCCTTCTGCAACTGCCGAATCTCATTCAGGGAAACACAGTGTACAGGCTCTGACAGGTCCTCTTCAGCATTTTCACACCAGTTGTTGAAAGCTGAAGCCTTGTGTGCAAATTCCATGAATAGTTCCTCAGCCTGGAGGGAAGAAAAAAAAAGCTATCACTGTCTTTCTTGGTAAAGTCCCTTAGCAGAAAATAAGTTTGAGAATAAAAATTATGTCTGTCTTTAAATATTTGCAGGGCCAGCAATCTAAAAGGACAGAACTAAAACCAGTAGGGACTGTGTGATTGGATGAATGGGCTTGGGAGTTAGAGGTAAGATAAAAGCCCTGGTGCTGGCATTTTTTCATTGTGTGAAATTGGTTCAGTCTTTCATTATATAAAAATACGGAGACTGAATGACTTTTAAAGTTATATCCATTCTTGGATTGCAAAAGTGGCAAGGGGTAGTTTTCAATTATATGATTTCTTTCTTTTCTTTTCTTTCTTTCTTTATTTTTTGAGTTGGAGTCTCACTCTGTGGCCCAGGCAGAAGAGCAGTGGCACACTCACGGCCATTGCAGCTTTGACCTGCTGGGCTCTGGTGATCCTCCCGCCTCAGCCTTCCAAGTAGCTGGAACTACAGGTGTGCACTACCACACCCAGCTAATTTTTTATTTATTGTAGAGATGAGGTCTCACCAAGTTCCCCAGGCTGGTCTCGAATCTGTGGGCTCAGGCAATCCACTTGCCTCAGCCTTTCAAAGTGTGGGATTACAGACTGAGTCACAGAGCCCGGCCAATTATATGATTTCTTACTCTAAATTCTGTGCTCTAATTCTACCGGATGCATACTAAACATGCAAAAAATAGGTGTTGAGTAGACGGGTGAAAAATGATTGAATAAACCAAACAAATTTGTTCGATCCCTTATCCATTTTATCTTTTTAACTTCAAGCTTCTGCGGACCACACCAGCTATCTCTGTGACGGTGTTGTCTCTTTCCACTTCCTTCTTAACTTTACTTATATTTGATTTTATGCCAGAAGCTTTTCAAACCTGTCTTAAACCCATTTTCTATCCTCTAGCTTGCATCCTTGGCATGAATCGATGTGTCTCTATATTACTGTTTGGAGTTATCCACATGCTCTGAATAATTCTGAGTTGTCTATATTACCGAAAGAAGGAAATAGTATGAACATAGATCAATGTAGAGAAAATTTATACAGTCCTTATCCAGGAAGGATACAGAAACTTACCAAGTGCTTCATATTATTTTCATAAAATTATGGATTGACTGAATATTTTACAAATATTTCATAATCAGAAAATAAGACAACAAAACCTTTTGCAGTTTGAAAATTCAGAAGAAACAGAATAAGTATGTGGAAGAGCTTATTAAAATGCATACATGGATGTTGCTGATTTAACTGATTTAATTTTTCACTTGAGTTATTTCTGTAGTTCTTAAGTTTTTCAATAGAGTAGAAATAAACTAAGAATCTAGACTGATCAAGTTTTCCTTGTATGTTTGTTTCCTAATTTCCCTAACTCCTTGCCTTAACTTATTGCAAGTATAATGTTTCTTATGTTCTAGGAGTTATCAGTAATTTCTTTTTTTTCTTTTTTTTTGAGTTGGAGTCTCACTCTGTGGCCCAGACTAGAGTGCAGTGGCCGCTCCCGGCCACCGCAGCCTCGACCTGCCGGGCTGCAGCAATCCTTCCACCTCAGCCTTCCAAGTAGCTGGAATTACAGGCATGTGCTACCACGTCTGGCTGATTTTTTGATTTATTGTAGAGATGAGGTCTCACTGCCCAGGCGGGTCTCGAACCCGTGGGCTCAGGCAATCCACTCACCTCAGCCTCCCAAAGGCACGGGATTACAGGCTCAGCCACCAAGCCCGGCTCCAGTAATTTCACTGACTGTTCTAATTCCCTTTTATTATCAATATCTGATGACTTGGAAGTCACCATTGGAAAGAGCATTTTAATACCTTATATTTATTTCGAACTTAGTGGTTTATAGTTCATTTTTAGATCCATTATCTCTTTTAATAGTAATAACACAGAAAGGTAGGAGAGAAAGGTAGTATTACCCTATATCCTAAATGGGGAAATCAAGGTTCAATGATGTATAAAAGGTCTTCCACTTAGAGAAGTTTGATAAAGGTTGAGAATAGGTCCAGTGTTCTTTTTATTTGAGTTGGAGAGCAAGCGCAAGGACAACCTTGACCTCTGCCTGTCAGTTTTAGTTCTATCATATAGAGGAGAGCTTCCACCTTCTACCTCCTCCACTACATTTTCCTGGCTTCTATGTCAAGGCAGCTGTATAACTGATCAATCAGTCTAAAAATAGTCCTATCAATCTACATTCTGCTCAGTAAGAATGTTTTTCTGACCTTTTTCAACGCACTAAAATGTTCAGATTACCTAAAAAGGATTTCCAGCAGCTATTTCTGAATTTTTCAGTTAATATACAGATAATAGA